AAAATGGGCAAATTGCTAGAAATAAAAAAAAAAACTGGATGAACTGGAATCTAAAAAAAAAAAAAAAAAAAAAAAAAAAAAATGGTGTTTCAGTCATATCCAATGTCTTCCAGTCCAAATAGCTCTAAAATTGTCACCTTAGCTATGGTCCCATCTCCAACATTCAGGGATAAGGAGCCATTACCAAGGCCACAGTGAACTTGAAACTTGTCACTCAAGACCCTCCAACATTTAGGAATTTCCATCTCCATCTCCTTTCTCTTTTTTTAACTTTTTAGTTTAATCAAACTCAGTGCTATGGGGAAATGGCATTTCTTTTAATTTATAATAAGCCTGTAAGTAGAAATTATAATGCTCATTTTGCAGATGAAGAAATTTCAGTAAAGAAAGGTTTGACTATTTGTCCTGAAGCACACAAGTTTTGAGCAGATGAGCCAAGATCCATAGACCTTGGTCTTCCTAGCCTGTCATCCTACCCAATAGTCCTCCTGAATCTCTTCTAGCACAGAGAAAGCTATGGATGGATGAATGGATGGATGGATAGACAGATGGATATTGAGGATGTCCAATCGACCCCCAAAAATCATGTGTTACCTTCCTTTAGCAGGAGTTATTTACCTTCACACCAAATTAGAATGGAAGATGATTTAAGTTCTAAATAACCTGCCTTCTGTTATAGGAAATTCCTGTGTCCCCTTCATGTTCAGGTTCAGTCAAGACAATGTAGTTCCTCAAAAAGAATAAATAAGTATGTCCTAGTTCACTTAAGAAACAGAGTAGGGGGAAAGCTTCCTAGTGACAAGAGCTGCTTCACACCCCCTTCACCAAGTCGCTGTCATTGAGTCCTGAGCAACTTAACCTTGGCCATGGTGGTCCTCACCTGTAAGACAGAACAGCCGCAAATGGCAGAAAAAGTGACATGAGGCGGTGGAGGTGAGTTTGTCCTAAAGCACATCCATAATAATCGTTCAATTTCTCCCATCTTTAATTCCAAGGAATTTAAGAAACTGTGAAAGCAACAAGGACTTGGAAAAAAACACCAAATGACCCCTTGCTCCCATTTCCAGCTCAGCCACACCTACATGCCATCACCGCCCCCATTCACTGTTTAGTTTGGCGCTGTCATTCCTTAGGCACTGACCCATGTTATTTCTGGACATTTTTGTCTTTTTTTCCATTTGGCATTTGTCCTAATGGGTTTTTATTTGTCTTTTCTTCCACTGATGCTCAAAATTAAGACAGATTTCGGTCTGCTTCCATGTTGAAGCAGGAGTCTCCAAAAAGTTCAGAAAGTTCATACTTCACCAGAGAAATCCTGGTAAGCTTTGGAAAGTCTATACAGTGTTTGCTATCTAAAAGGAAAATTCTTCTCTTGGTTTTTCCTCTATTTCCGTCCAAGGGGAAATCTCAGTTTCCGCTCCACCTGGCCCTATGGATATAATAGATGGATATTCCTACATCCTCTATGGAGAGTTCTATAGTGAAAATGATCAAACACATGTTTTGGAAGCAAAACTCCTAAGTGCTATGAATGAAACATATCAGTCATCATTTTTCCAATCATCCCCTCATTGCAGCCCAGGGGCTGAAGTAACCTGTTGTCTTGGAAATAATCCTTAGAAAATCAAATCCAAGAGAAAAATACAGACTGGTCACCCCAGTCCAGGTTTTCTATTATCTAAGGTCAGGGCTGACTTGAGACAGGAAACCCCACATCCTGAAGTCTCATTTGCAATCCATAATAGATGATGTTCTTGGAACCCAAGTTCAGAAAAGGAGTTAGCAATGCACATTTTGGCAAAGATGCAGACCTGGAATTCAGTTTGTACAGCTATAGCATAAAATAATAAAGTCTGAATGCAAACAGCAAAAATGTGCCCATATCACAGCTCAAAGCGTGCCAAAGCTGATCTAATAACTATGCATTTTTCATGTTTCAATAAGGTACTTAATTGGCATTTCTCGGGACACTGTGGGATGAGGGCTCACGGGGTGAGAACTGGCATGRAGCCCACATCCTGCTACCCTGGCAGTTCCCCATCTTCCCCATTAGCTCAAACCACATGGAGAGATGAGAGCAGGACAGAATGAGACACCTTTCTTTTTTTCCCCAAGTATATTGGAGTTCACCCAGGAAAAAGCAGGGCATGTTGATGAAAAGTGTGGGCAAGTGTTCCAAGCCACTCCACAGTGTACTTGACCAGGGAAATCATGAAAAACCACAGTCATCTGAACAGCCATTTATAGCTTACAAGCGCCTTTCTAATGTGTTCTCTTAATCCTCACACACAGTGCTTAGGAACCTATTTTTATTGTTCCCCTTTTACAGCTATATAAATGGAGGCCCAGGGAGGTTGAGGCATTGCCCTAAGGTAAAACAGCTGGCAAGGGCCAGTAATGGGGCTGGATCCGGTCCTTTGCTTCTTGCACCTGTGCTGGGATGGCCTCCTTTTCACCCAGGCCCACGTGGGCCAATCTGATTTTCTGCCTCACACTCAAGCTGTCAAGTCCAGGAACTTAGAAAATATCTTGGTAGAAAATCGATTCTCACACTTTCAGAACACAGATAAGGCTGTGTTTAAACTGAGGTAGGAAAAATCACTTACTCCTTCCCCACTTGTGTGGGAAACAGTAACAGGCAGAAAACTAATATTTCTTGTTGACCTGGTTTATTTTGTGACCCCAAACAGACAGAAATGGTGATGTTTTTGAGGATGGAGATTTCTGCAATCTTGTCATGGGATGGGATTGTCACACTGAGCTTGCTCTTTTGGGCCTTCTATTCTCTTTCTTCCTCCCCTGGGCAATGTTCTGGGGTATTCTTAGAAAACATGTGATCTCAAGTCGGCACCGTGGTGCCCACCTGTAATCCCATCCACTTGAGAGAATAAGGTAAGAGGATCCCAAGTTCAAGGCCAGCCTGGGCAACTTAGCAAGACCCAGTCACTAAATAAAAAGAAAAATAAGGGCTAGGGATGTAGCTCAGGGGTAGAGAGCCCTAGGTTCAATCCCCAGTACCAAAGGATTAGTTYGAAGGAGGTAGATCTTTTTGGACCCCAATTATGAGTGTTTCAGCTATCCCCCCCACCGGGGGCTATGTGGGATCCCCTAGTTTAAGTCCCTGGGGAAAAGGGCAGGGACAGGACATAAAAGCCATTATGAAATATAATTCCCCAAAATATATGCTCTGGGTTCTAAAGTATTTCAAAATCCTGACTTCTTCTATGGGGACAGTGACAGGGAAAATGGAAGGAAGCACATTATGGGAGGCAGCCTGGGAACCTGGGTCAATTCAATAACAAAGCTCTGATCACCTGGAGTATACATAGGAAGAGTGTTGGTGTTATTTTAATGTTCTGGTTAATTGGGAACTATGCTGGGCCTAGTGAATTTCATCAAATCTTTCTTTGATAATTGAGATCATGCCATGCCCTGGAGTGATCATTCTAAATATCAATTATATCTCCCCTGTAATGGGAAGACAGGAGATGGAGCTCAACCTGCAGTAACCTGCAGGTCAACTACAGGATGGTCATTTTCACCAGACTTACTACATTACTCTTTTTCTAGACAGTGAGTGCAAGGCAAATTCTGTTTCTTAGAGGCTGTCAGCTGTTTGGCTCACAGTTAATCAAGATTTCCATATAACCGGTCAGAAATTAGAGAGATGCTCAGAATGTTGACTTGTTACCCCCAGCAATCAAATCATCCAGCTAGATAAAACATTTCTAGAGTATTTTGAAAATTCATTTTGAGGTCCACCCCCACTTTCAACCCCTGAGCCAAATGTGTTCTTGCCTTGTACAAGTCAACCGAATTTTAAAGTCCTTGATTGCTAGTCTCAATTCTTCTATTAAGTAATCATGTGATGTTTGAGGAGCCTAGTTCATTTTTAAGACTTGGTTTCCTTAGCTATACAAATAAAGTTTGAGTTTATTGGTTCTTAAACCTTTTAGAATCACAAATCTTAAGAATCATAGGAAAACAAAGGAAGCTTTTCACAGCAGGGGAAAATAAATGTATTGCAAAATGTGTATATTCCCAGTGGAGACATGGGTTCATGGACCACCTGTAGCCTATTGTTCTGTGACACACACCCCCCCCCCACCATCCATGAACTTCAGATTTTAAAATCCCACTGGAGTAGAACCTTTGGGCCTCTTTGAGCTGTGGCATCCTCTGAATCCAGTTAAGGGCAAGCAACTTCCCAAGTGTCTAAGGCAGTGGTTCTCAATCTTAACTGCACATTAAGACCCCTCCAAGCAGTTTTCAAAATTCTAGTGCACAGGTTGCTCCCCAGATCGATTAAATCCAGATCTTTGGGGATTTCATTCCAGGCATTGGTGTTTTTTAAAACTCTCCAAGTGATTCCAATGCAGACAARATTACAAACCGTTGCTCTAAAACAAGGATTCTCAAAATTTGAATTGAATAGAATCACCTGGAAGGTGGAAGGTAGATTCCCCAGTTCCTAACCCATGGTGATTCAAATGCCTCTGGCCAGATCCTGCCAAGAATATGCAATTATTAAGCATCGCAAGCCATTCTGATGCAGAATACAGTTTAGCAGGTAAAATATAGCCATTTAGCAGGTAAAACTCAAGACAACCCCCCTCCCTAGCTACTCTTTCCTCTTAGGCAGTTCTTCCAGCTCCCGGCAGGTCCCCAACCTTGTTCAGAAAGCTTTAATATGCCTCCTTCACTTGCCAGACAAGCTTTTGTCTCCATCTTTTCCATCTGGATCTTTTAGCAGCAGCCTCTGATCCCACCAGGTTCAATAATTTAAGCAGAGCAATCATCAACATTGTCGTGTTTAATATTTAAACACCCCAGCATCACTTAGGTCAGCTTCAAGGTGAGAGCTCACTCCTGCTCTATTGCCTATTTAGCAAACGGGGCCACTGGCTGCCAGAGGGGACTGCGTGTGCTCAGTTCCAAGAGAGGCCAGCCAGGCAAAGACCCCAGCCCACCACATCTGCACCCTCTCCACCACTTCCTACCTGAAGCGTGCGCAGCAGGACCTGCAGCCCACTTGCTTCTTGTTCAGCCATCCCCTCCTCTGGTCCTGGGGCACCAGCTGCCTGAGGCCCGATCCGATCCGTGCTGCAGAAGAGGTAGCTGCCAAGCTGACCTCGCTACCCGCCTCGCAAAGACTGCTGCACCAAGGCCTCAGCTGCACATGCTGCAGAGTGTGAAGTCACAGCCGTGCAACCCTAGACATCGGCACAGGCGCGAATGCCCCCCGACTCCCACTGTGGGGATTAGGTGAGCCCTGGCTCTGGGGAGGGCTGAGCATTTGGGCACAGGGGCAGGGAGGGCACCCGTGTGAGTCATTCACCCACCTCCAGGCCCACATAGGAGCCGGGCAGAGGAGAAGCCACCCTGGATGGCTGACAGGCATTCCCAGCTGACCTGGTCAGACTCCCTCCAGAGGCTCGCTGTGCCCTCTCCACTTGCCCCCCTCCTTTATTTTGGTCTGTTGCCGGCTCCCAGTTGTAACAGGAGATCCAAGAGTGCTTGCACAACTGTGGCAGTTCAGGGCACAGAAGCCCAGGGCCCCCTGAGGTCCCAGGCTTAAGGACAGGAGTTCTGGCTAAGAAGGAAAATAACTACACTGAACATTTTGTATGGACCAGGTCATTTACATAATCAGTTTATTTGCACAGTAACCCTATAGAGGTAGAGTTTTACTAAGGCACTGAGATGTGAAGACTCAACAATACAGTGTAGAAGCATGTATCCTCCCTCAAACAGGCAAGTTGGCATCAAGCACAAGCAGTAACCATTACACCATCCTGCCTCTGACTGCTACCAACACATTGGTCAAAGTACCAAAGGCTGAAGAGCCTCTTCCRCTGCAGGAAGGCCAACCTGGACCACTTGGTAAGAAAAAGAAGGACTGGAGATGTAGCTCAGTGGTAGAGAGACCCTGGCTTCAATCCCCAGTACCAAGGGATTAGTTTGAATTGGTGAGTCTTTTGGGACCTCCAATCAAGAGAATTTCAGCTCTCCCCCCAGAGGCCACAAGGGCTCCCCTAGTGTAAGTCCATGCGGAGAAGGTCAGGCACAGGGCATTAAACCCATCATGAATGATTATTGCACAGAATCATGTTTGGCAACCCCCCTGCAGTGCTGGGAGCTTTCATGAACATCCAAAGCATGTAGCTGGTGGCTGCCCAGATGCAATTATGGGGCCACTGGGAAAAAGGAGTCTGCATTTCCAGATCCAACTTGGCCAAGTGTTCTGAAGTCCTGAGTCAGGGGTCAGGCAGGGCCAGCCATCACTTTTATTCAACAGTGAATTCCTATGGTTCCTGCCCCCAAGAAACTTCCATTCTTTAATGGCTTTAAATGTGAAGACCTTTTATCTTGGGAGCCAACAGTCAGTTCACATTCATAGAGTAGTGTCTCCTTACATTTTCTAACACCTCTGACTTTAGGAARGTAGAAATGAAGATTCTCCAGGGATTCCTGCTTTCCTGTGAGAGATTGGAGCTCCTTGGGGCATGTGTTCTACAGCCCCCCTGTAGTGCAGGGTGGAGGGAGGGATGAACTGCCCCATATGATTATCTTCATGATTACCTTCATCCCTTGGTCCTCAATCAGGGAGAGACAGAGAAAAGGAAAATAGACCATCTTTCCCAACACATAGATTAGGAATGGCTTAAAGGTAAAAACATCCTCATAGGATAAAGCCACAAAAAAACAACCTTGGAAGATAGAAACAAATGTACTGGGGTCATACTTCCCAAGTTAGCATTAAGGTAAAAGTGTCTCCATTTTATAGGGTGTCTTTAAAAGGTGGAGTTGCATAGGGCAGAGGTGAGATTAAAAAAAACCTATCCATAAAGGATCACATTTTCCACTTAAAGACACTTTCCCCTTGCAGCACCAAGAACCTGGTTCTCTGTCAACCTCTCATAAAATGAGGTCAGGAGTGGGCTTCCTCTAGGCACACACCTGCCTCATATGCCCAGCTTGGTTGCAGTGGAAAATCTCCAATCTCTGAAAATTCATTGCACACTTGTCCATGTGGCTACACAAAAATGCCAGATAAGGAATAAAACGCTGGTCCTCACCCTTTGATTTTCCAACAAAATTYGGGTGCCCATGTACCTTGTCATCAGTTCTCCATCACACCTTCAGTGTTCTCCTCCCTCACCCTCAACAAAGCCCTTTGGGGAACCCAGCAAGCCTGCTCCCCTGCCTAGAAAGAACCTTTGCGCTCATGCTTAGGAAAAGCCACAGCAGTGCCAAAATAAAGCTTCCCTCTGCTGAAGTCTCTGTAAGTGACAGCCCAGTTCTGTCGGTGGTCTGATTAACGGAGGCTGAAGTATAAACGGGCAGCACGGTGTATATGCTCTTCTCAGTGAACACGTGAATTTGAACAGGGCCTTTCCTAAAGAGACCCAAGTTTGGAATCCTCCTGGATAATACAATATCTTATCCAGAAGGAGACAGAATGAGTACTCATGAAACCACACAGAACAACCATGGAGAAGGTCAGTTCTGGGGACAGGGAGGAAGCTGCTTTGTAAGGTAAAGAAAAGGCTTGCTTTCCACAGTATGCCTTTTAAGGAGCCATTTAGGAAAGCTAGAGAGCAGATCCTGGGAGAAGCTCAGAAAGATCTGTACTCTGGTTTCAAAAAAAGCATTTAATATAATCCAGAGATTCCTTTTGTAGTTCCAGAGTCCCTGAGACCGCCTGCAGGTTCACTGATTGTCTGGAGGGACACGTAGGACTCTGCAAAGTTGCCGTACTCACAGTCATGATAGAYCACAGCTAAAGGATAAGAGACCTCAGTCAGCAAAGGGAAGAGGCATATGGGGCAGGGTCTAGGAGAGAACAGGCACAGGCTTCCAGTTGTCCTCTCTCAGTGTAATCCTAAGGACAGCACTGACAATCCACACTGGTGACACACAGAGTTTAGATAATTAGGGAAGCTCATGGAGCCATGGGTCCAGGGTTGTTACTGGAGATTGAGCCCAGGATCACTTCATGACTCAGCTATATCCCAGCCCTTCTTTGCTTTTTATTTACAGCTTTCACTAAGTTGCACAGACTGACCTTGACCTTGTGATCCTCCTGCTTCCACCCCCCAAGTCACTAAGATTACAGGTATGTACCACCCTGCCTGGCATGGTCTAGGGTTTTTATTGGGGGTTGTTGGTGCAGACCTAACCACCTGCATGGATGACTCTAGTCTCCAGCCCCTCTAGAGGCCAAGCTGTTACCTCATGGCCCAAGCCCCCCACCATAAATCACACTGTGAGCACAGACTGTCTGGCATGGCTCAATGTCCCCAGGTAAACACTCTGATCAGGCAGGACTTCCAAGAGGCTAAGGTCACCTCCTGGGAGCTGGGAGCAAAAGCCAAGCCTTTCTCTAGGCAAGCTTAATCCTTTAATGCATATCTTCTTTCTTATCCTATAATTTCAGGTCCAAGATTCTCATATCTTGTGAATAAGATGGAGAAATAAGCGCAGGCCTGTGTAATTAGGAGGATTCAATAGCTTGTAGAATGCAGTACTCGGAGAGTGGTAATTAATAAATTACACAAGTGTAGAGTGTGTTTTCTAACAGCATCAAGAGTATTCAGTCCCCTGGCTCTTTCCTATTCATCATTTTTATCAATGACTTGGAAGAAAATAACGGCCACATGCTATCAGATTTTCTGATGACACCAGTTGAGAAAGGTAGAAATATGTGACATGACATAGTTGGGATCCAAAAAGATTTCAGCAGCCTTGAGTGATGGACCATCTCCCACAGCATGGAATAAAACAGAGCCAAGCAGAAGCTCCCTTCCCTATGTCCTCAATACCAACTGTGCAAAAATAAGGCTGGAAGGCTTGGCGAAACCGAAGGGAATGTGGGAAAGCTTAGAAGGTCAGCCAGAGGTGAAACCAATAGGAGTTGCCCACATGATCTCCTGTCCCCAAAGTGTCATTACAATCCAATATCGTCACCTATAACCAAAAGGGCCATGAAGCTAATGGAGATCATGTCTGTGGAGGGTGTCAGCCCAGTGCCTGGCACAGAGGAACTACCTGTGGACAGGAGCAGTGTCATTGCTATTATGATTGTCCCTATAGAATGGCAAAACCACAAGGGGGAGGATCCCATCCTGTTCAACAATGCTCAGTCTCTGGAGGCACATCAGAGCTGTCCCCATTTCAGAAAAGGCATGTGGAGGAAGGCTAGGTCCTACAGAATAGAACCAGAACCAATAGGTAGAAGCCAGAGGCACCTGATTTAGGGACAGATACAGAAGTGCATTGAGCTTGGTCAGGCTGTGGCACTTGGCTACTTCCCAACACCAGTGGTGCCCAGGAGGTACCAGAGGACTGTGTAGCCAGAAGAGACAGAGGGGATTCCAGGACTGGATGATTTTGAAAGGACCTGGGTTCAGTAATTTCATGCAATGAGGAGAAAGACTTAAAGAGGGGCTCACTTCCCCCTGGGCATATATCCAAGAGGTAGGAAAGCTGGAACTAAGTCTCCTTCCCTTCTCTAAATGGCCCATTCTCTCAGGGGGCACATGAGATGATTTCAGAGGAACCTGGATAAACAGTTGAAATTTGAACAGATGAGTTTTATTTCAACCAATACATATATATATAATTAGCAAAAAAAAACATGTTTCCTAGATAGTATTAATTCTCATGATGAACTTTAAAGTTTAGAAGTTGGTTAATGTTAAGAAAATATTAAGGGAATCATAGTACACATGGCACCTAGACATGGCAAAATTCCCAAGGGAGGGAGGTTAATGAAATTTATGGAAGGCTCACATTACTACATGCCTCCTAACACTTGGCTCAGATAATCTTCTCCCTGGGTCTAATAGTGAGACCAAATCTCACTCAAATGATAGCTAGCATCTCCTTTCCTCAGATATGCTGGAAGCAGATTAATATAAATATTTGCTCAAGTAGACACATGTGACCAGTCATTCTTTAAAGGTGGTTTACACAAATGTTCATGCCCTTACACTTTCCATTTTCTGCTCTGACTTCCTTCATTTCTCTTGTCTTCTGTCTTCCCTGTCCATTTCTAGCAACACACACACAAACTCACTAAGACTTGTGCACACAGACACACACGTGTACCATAACCTTCTGCCAGTCATAATGAGGCTGCCTTGCCTACGTGATATCAGAGAGGATTGACTATCCCTCTTCCCGCCCCCGCCCCAAAGATTTCCTCCACTGTCTCCTAATTCATGAAATCCCAAAAGAGGCGGAACAGAAAAAGTAGAAGAAAAAGAAATCCAGGAACAAGAGCTGCTGTCTTGTGGGCATTGTCTA